GTGTGTGTGTGTGTGTGTGTGTGTGTGTGTGTGTGTGTGTGTGTGTGTGTGTGTGTGTGTGTGTGTGTGTGTGTGTGTGTGTGTGTGTGTGACAGCGTGGAGCCGGTGGAGGCACACACACACACACACATATTCAGGGGTCGCAGCGGCTGTACGGCGTTTATACCGGAGCCAAATTGCTTTCCGGTCTCTACCGCTCTGTGGGGGTCCCTCCAGCTCTGCAGGGGCCCCCGGCCCCGGGTCACTAACTCAATCACCAGATCAGGAGTAATAATTATTAAAACCCTGTGAGCATTAACAGCACGCAGGTGATTTATCAAAAACGTCGATTACATTTTGTGCAGGGTGACAACTTTTGAAAGCTGAACCTGTCCCCCGGGAGCCGGTCCTGAGAACATGCTCCCTGTTTGGAACTGTTGGTGCTAAATGAAAAGAGTGGCAGCGGGGACGACATCATTAATACACCGAGCAGTTTTTATAGATAGACACATTTGGTTCGTTCTTTTTCTGCTGCGGAACACTACACCTGAAGTCAACAGATACTCAGACAGAACAACGACCACGATGGAGCCTCTGGGAGAAATATTCTGCCACACGGAAGTCGTGTGATTATACAAAGTCATGTAGATGCAAAGTTGTGAGGAAAGGATGAAAAGAGTTGCTTCGAATTACAAATATATTTAAATGAAGACACCTACACCACAGCAGGAAAAGAATCCCTTCATACATTTATCAGGTTTTAAATTCCATTCAAAAGTTGCTCTGGTGAACTTATTTGTTTCTGGCAGCGTTTGGATCCCGGCTGCTTCCTTCAGCCTGACGACTGTTCAAAGCAAGAAACAGCTGCAAGAGTCGAGACACTTGGATCTTCTCATTTCATAAAGATTACAAACATGTTCATTATCCTCTTTTTACAAATTCATTCTGTGACTGATAAATCTCATTGAACAGTAAATCTGATTCCATCCTTTCACCGTCCAACCGTCTCACAACTAATAATGAATGTTTGTTGTTCAGTCTCTGTCTGTGCTCAGAGTCTGATGTTTTCACACCAGTGGATTTTTAAACCTTTTGACTAAAACAGTTTGAATCCTGTTGGACAGACGGACTCTTCTTAACCTCTGAGCCGCTCAAACCCGGATGTTTCATTTGTCCTGAGAGGTTTATGGTTCTGCGTGAGAATAAAGTTGTGGTTATGAGTCAGTGTGCAGGTGTTTCTCTTTTCATTCCTCTCTGTAAGACAGGGGCCACAGAACCAGTGAGTAAAGCTGCACCTGACTGAGGCGCCGCTGCAGCTCTGTGCTGTGGATTCTCTCCATTATTGCAGAGTTTTTTTGTTTTATTTGGGGGGGGGGGGGTCGTCCCTGGAGAGTCTGAAGGGCCCCGGGGCTTTGACAACAGCAAAAACAACAACAGGTGAAGGAGGAAGAGGCCGAGGTCGTTATCAGTCTTATTAAAAGGATGTGGATCTATCAGCAGCTCCACACTGTGTGTCTGGACACTGTAGAGAGAGAGAGAGAGAGAGWGTGTGTGTGTGTGTGTGTGTGAGTGTGTGTGTACTGTAGGTAAGCTGAGCCGAAGAGACGCTGACTGTGTTGAATCTCAGCAGCAGCTCCAGACGCCAGAGACACACTGCACCTCTCTCCTCCTCCCTCCATCCCTCTCTTCCTCCCTCTGGGTCTCTTCTCTCCGTCTCTCTCGCTGTTTCACTCGCTCGGTTTCTCAGACGCAGATCGGACGGAAGCTGCTCTGATTTATGGAGAAAAGACCAAGAGTGTAGTCATGGTGATCTCTCTCACACACACACACACACAAACACACACACACACACACTGCATATCACCATGATCTGTGTGTGTGTTACAAGCAAACACACACACACTGATGATGGCTGTCACACAGCTCAACGTTTCCTCTGAGTCAGCAAAAACAGGGAGAGGAGGAGAGGGATGGAGAGGCTGAAAGGATGGAGAGAGGGAGGAGGAAGAGGAGGAGAGAGATATAAAGAGCAAATTAAAATTTTCACTGAGGTGAAAACTGTGTTTTCTTGCCCTAAAAGATTTGATCACTTAGTTTAATTAGTTTGTGACAGTGAAGAGAAACAGAGAAAGAGGCTTTAGATAAATTAATAGAAGAAGATTTTAAACTCTGAACGTTCGTCTTACGCATTTATGAAAACGACATATATGAGCATCGAGCTGCGTGAAGGATCTATAACCTACTGCGTGTGTGTACAAGTACACAGGTGTGTGGTATGAGTATAGAGACGAGCTGATCGAGGGGATGAACATTAAATAGGTTTAATGTTTTTATTTTACGAGACTCTGCGTGTTGCAAAGAAGCTGATGATGAGTAACGGATGCTTCAAAAGAATCTGACTTTAAAATGAACACATGGAAAAACGCTCCTGATTATTGAGAGTGACACATTTAGCAGTTTTCAGGTTTTTAAATCCATCTGAGGAAAATAACCAAGTGGTCACAGCTCGGTTTAACTGTTTGAGTAAATACACTCATGCAAACATGATCATCTGCACATGTGAACATGCACCTGCAGAGGCTGTGATGCTGTGCACGTCTGACCTGCACACACACACACACACACACACAGGGTTTGAGGTGAGCCGCCACCCACCGGACCTGAAGGCGGTGTCACATCAGCACCAACGCGGGGTGGCATCTGTCTCAACCCGCACTGCTTCCACCCTGAGAGGAGGGAGAGAGAAAGAGAGAGAAAGAGAGAGAGAGAGAGCACTTAGTGCAGCTTAGGGCACGTGCACGAGCGCGCGCACACAGTGGACACCGAGGGTATCATGCAAAGCTGCCTCGTGCACACATTCGAAACATGGAGTGAGAGAATGAGAGATGCGATCATCTACCTCGTGCGTCGGTGGAAAGATTCATCTTCATTCATCCATCCCTCCATCCATCCCTCCATCCATCTCTCCCTCCATCCCTCTCTCCCTCCCGGGGGCCGGTGCAGCTCAGAGGCCGCTGAACTCGGCTGCATGTGTCCGCTCCGCTGCTTCTTCTCTCTCGGGAACAAAATCTGGAAAAAATAAAATCTGTATAATTTTACCGGAGCTCGGAAAAGCTTCTCCCCGAACATCGTGCTTTCCACAGCGGCCTCACCGGACACCCAGAGTCCGCCACTAAAACCTCTGACAGCGGAGCACAAAACACAGAATCAGTCACAGAATCAAAACTTAAAAGAGGGAAATGAAATTAAGAAAATCATTAATTCATCGATGCTGAAATTATTCACGTTATTTTGGAACATTTGTGCGCTTTTACGCACGAAACTAACCGAGGCCTCCCGGTTCTAACCACGGGCCTTTTAAATAGACTCATAATAAAATTAT